GTTTATTTTACTTTGTATTCGCATGAATTTTATCAGCTCAAATGTCCCGAATAACTAGCTCACTGGAACTTCATCTCCATAAGTGCTATCTGTTTATAAAACATGCCATCTTGAAGCAGGGCACCTAAAGCGAGTCTAAATCCCATATCAGTGACATTTTACAGTGCCATCCACATGCTCCTGCTCAGAATCTTTTTCACGAACTCGCTTTTAAAAAATTGAATGTACTTTCATATTCTAAATACCAAGATGGCAATAAGTTTCTATCATTTAGCCTGGAAAGAGTAATCTTTTCAGCACAGTGTGTTTATGCTGAAGCATTATAATAAGTTCAGGGCAATATTAAACTTATGTAGCAAGAAATAGTTAGGTGACATACATGTAGCCCAAAATCAGGTTAATTCTTGCTACACAAGCCATAGGATCAAGGGAAAGCAAAGAAGAAAAGGAAGAACAACAACAACAAGAAATGAATAACAAAAGAAGAGGAAGGAAAAGATGAAGAAAAAGCCTTAAAGGCTTACCATCTGACATGAAGATGCCAGCTTCAAGCGGGGCCTCCGAGCCAGGCCCAACCCTGTAGCTGATGAGGTGTGGGGGCTCGTGGACATTGAGGTATGATCCTATCCCATGTCCTGTGTGCCATGCATGTAGTCTAGGCCTATCTCCCATAGATGCTGTCTGGCAAAAGAGTCTAGCAAAACCCCTGAAAAACAGAATTGATCACAACACTTATAGCAGAGTATTTCATAGGGGGCTGCTGGTTGGGCATACATGTATTGAGCCTTTAATAGCAGACAGCACAGGATAGCATTATGCTCTGTGATATGTTTACTTGCTGATACACTGGATCTCGATAGAGTCAGTAAACAAGCAAGAGCATAGCTTACATAACTTGGAGGCCTTGCCTGATGAATTTACTGCTTAAAACAAAAGAAATCAGAAAAAAAAAAGAAAACGTAATCAAACAAATGCTACCATGTAATAAGAAAGATATGAATACCCCCAAAATATCATTTTGTTTTAACTTTTAAAGAAAAAATGTTTACATGATTGCTATTCAATATTTGCAGTATTGCAATATTTTAGCCAAATCATACAAAATTTAGTTTTTTTTATTTTTTATTTAATGGCGTGTAGTACATTGCAGACAATCTTAAATGAGCTCCTAAAAGAACAGCTCGGTCGGAAAAAAGGAAAGTTATGATTTGATGCTACTGAAAATATGCACATACATTGCATTACATGTACACTCTCCTCTTTTCCACCTTAGACTGTTCATAAAATATAACATTTAATTGTTTTTATAATGACATTAACATTGCAGACAATCTTAAATTTCCTACAGAAAGAATATGCATATACATGTACTCTCCTCCTTTCTAACCGTAAACGCTCCAAAACAGTGCAGTGGTTTACTGCAAGCACCATACATCCTGGCTTAGAAACAAATGCACAAGTGCCGTTGGTAAGGCATGTAGGTCCACTGGCTGCTACAAGCATTTTCTGTACCAATGTGAACCATAAGATTTCCAGGTCTTTGTTTTATTTGTTCATTTTATTTATTTTAGTACGGTAATAAAAAACCTGCTTCCAGCCGCAAGGCTGTTTTTCAGCAAGTCTGTATACAAATGAAGAACAACACAACAATACAAAAATGACATGATAACAACTACTTATTTACAAAGATCTCTGCTTAGATCCACCTCCACCTGAAGCACTGTCCCTCCTTCAATGGAGAAGGTGTAGCTATCATAGATGGAAGTATCTTCATCAGATACAATTGAATCAAGAAAGGTTTCAACAACAATAACTATGGACGGCTGCTTCTCATAGCAAAGGTTGGAACATTCTTTATTTGAACCTTTTAAACGTAATTCACATGTTTTGACTGCCCTAATTTGTAGATCCTTGTTCCGTAGTCTATGGTCAGGCTAGTGTTGATGTCCTTTAGATCCATCCGTTTAAGGCTTGGTTTTCCTTAATTCGTAGCAATTTGAGAATGGTACAGGGTTTCTAGCCCATTAAACCAAGTACACACCAAGGCTGTGCTATACATGACTTGACTTAAAAGCATACTGTTGACTCATAACAGATCGTGTTCAAAGGATGGGGTGATCAGCACTTCAAATATTTTATCACACACCTGCAGAGCCACATCATTAGAATATGAGATTAGTACATATAAAAGCATATACATTCTCCATGAAGCAAAAGGCTAAACTTTCATTCAGATATGTCAAAAACAAACTTTTAATTAACAAACTATTTGTACTATACATACATGTATTAAGTCTGAAGTCATAAGAAAAAAAACTCCTAATATCCTAAACCTTTACACACCTCGTGTTCCTTCTGGGAAGACTGCCGTTGCCAAGGAGATAACACCCTTCAGAACTCTTGTGAAACATTCCTGGATTGAAGCAATCAAAAGAATTGCAAATTACAGTGATTGAACCCAAGGCCACATGTTCATAAATGATGGCCAAGTTAAACTCAGACCCCGACTTATAAAAGTTGCAATTGATCTGGTAATAACTGCATCCACTGATTTATAGAATACCAAGTGCCAAGCTCTTTATTCTCTATGTCTGCTATTCTGCAACAACATTGATTTTTTTTTTTAATGAATCAAATAATGAAAGATAAATGCAAATTAATTTCATGATGACACTATCTGTATGTTATTTAGTTTCAGGAATATAGTAATTTTTATGGTATTGAACCAAAAAAAAGAATATCAACTTGAATCCAACAACATAGGCAAATATTCATGTAGGTGGACTAAGTTCAATCTGGTTTAAAGGTAATAGAAAGTTTTAGTAAATTTTGAAAATTGGGTGGATAGTGATTCTTTACAATTGTGATATATTTGGATGCCCCTGTAGATGTATCATAAGCACTAGAAAAATAGCCCCTAAAACACTTCTGCTTTCCAGAAAAATTGAATATAAAAATTTACCGGTGCTTCCGGTAAATTTTGAAAATTTTTAAATAGCGTCTACGGCCATACAATGGTAGCTGCGACCATGAAAATCTCAGAATATGTAGGTGTGATATATAATTTCCAAACGGGAATAGCAAATCGGATTTTATTCAAGAAACATTGTTTTATAGCTTAATTAATATCTTGACCTTGAGAGGGAGCTATTTAACATAAAGAATTTATTATTTACAATATCATAACTTTAGACTCTATTTAGACCGCGACAACGATCACTGAATATTGTAGGGTTGCATATGCTTCCAATATGTTCATTTGAACCAAATTCATGACCCCATATCAAAACTTTGTATTTGACGTCATTGCGGGCATGTCCGATTCGATAATTTCATAATTGCCAGAAAAGTACTGGGATTATCAAGTGCATATTACTTTTCGGATAAATGTGTCTTTTTTTTCTCCAATTAATATCATAGTTTGCCTTTTTAAAGACATTTAATGCCTAAATCACCCTCCTTTTCACTGGAAAGGCGCCTGCAGTGTCGTCAAATGCGTCATCACCGAAACTGGGCTTTTCTCTGAGCGTTCTGAGTCACCATTTTTAAGGTTAGATTACAGAATTATTGATGATTTCTAAGAAAAATCATTGTCATGTTTTCGGAATCTCCGTCAAAAATTATTCTACATGTCTTTAAAAATTTTTTTAGCTCGTTTTGGTAAGAGTGGCCCTTTAACCCTATTTTAATGGGGCTATTTCAGACCAGGTTTTTACTGGGGGGGGGGGGTCAATTCGACCCCCCCCCCCAAGATCTCGGCCGTTTCACCGCCGATCGCCGCGAAAATTTGCATGCATGTCAAGTGAAGTGTATAGAATACTATGGTAATTTCAAATTTTTGAAAAATTGACTCATTTGCATATTTATGGTAATTTATGCAAATAAGGTCATCAAATTCACATTTCTGCCAATAAATCAAAGATTATTCATGTTTACGTATTCTTTTCACTACATATATTTATTAGACCATTTGGAATAATAATACAACACAAAAAATTGGAAGAGCCAGGTTATTCCTTATGTTATCTCTTGTTTTTATAATTTCTTATGTATTTCATTGTTTTTTAAACTTATGTATTTTATTGTTTTTGTTGTTTTATTTCATTTATAACTACAATTCAACTATTTTGACCCCCAAAACAAACATCTAAACTGTAAACAAGACTGAATAAAAAAAGGTTTTATCTACTTTTAGGAAAAATGACTTTTACATATGTTTTGTACACAAATCATGAAAATGAGCGATTTTCGGGCTGACATGCAAAGACAAAAGGTCACGTGACCTTGTAACCGTAGGTCCGATTTTCGAAAAAATTGTTTTAAAAGATGCGTAAAACTCAAAAGTAAAAAGTCATGAGAGGAAATTTTTTATATCTGCCGCGGTTTCGGAGTAGTGACGAAATTTCTACAGGGGGGGGGGGGTCAAATTGATTCCCCCCCCCCCCCCCCCCCCCCCCCCCCCCCCCCCAGTTAACATAGGGTTGACACTTTCTTCTCAAAATTCTCAAAAAAACAAGCTAGGTTTTCAATTTGAAAGAGAAAGACATAAAAGTCAAGTTTTTTTCATAACTGAAGGGACAATCTGAAGGGACAAAGAGAAGGGTTTAGCAGACATTCGTTACCTTCTGATGTTGAGTAGGTGTTCCAAAGTGAAATGTTCTTGTAACATCAGTTGTTCCGTCTCTGTCAGGTGTAACAATTCAAATATGAATAGGAATGGATGATACAGTGTACATGTAGACTGCAAGATGAAACGTGTGTTACATCCATTCACAAAACATAGGACTACTTGACAGAGAAGTGTTGGGCCACTTCATGCACCATGGCTCAGGACGTCCCAGGTGCAAAACTACTTCAATGCACTTGTGCCCTTTGGTAAGGAATTAATCCTCATCACCAAGAGAGGACTTAAAGTCATTGGTTCCCTTGCTGTTTACTTACAAGCATATTCAGTTTACTAAATTATTCATCCCCTAACCAAGTTTTATAATGTTGTGTATGTACAAAATTGATTTGTCCCTATATATGTTTCTTGAGAGTATAGTAAAGCTTAAATCTAAAAGTTTTAACAAAGGCCATAATTTAACCAGTCCCACTTTCATTCTTGGGTTACGAAAGAATAAAAAAAGAAAATTTACAAGGGGTATGAATAATTTCATTATAAACTGTACATGTTTTATTAGCAGCCAGGGAAAACAATTATCAAACAAATCATAAATTAATCTGTGGAAAGGACTGCTCTATTGTCATTGTGGGGTGGAATACAATCAACACAGCCATCGTCATTTATAATACTATCATTAACATAAGAAGTATAACCTAGGAATAAATTATATATATACATGATGGTTCATGCCTTAATTATAATGATGTCTAGATGCTCCTAAAAGCTAGTCCGGTGGAATTTGAAGTAACGTGTGTATAAATCTTGCACGCAGCTCCTGGCTCACCTAAATCTTGCGGCAAGAGATCAGGAAGCAGTCAGTCATCGTTCAGACATAGAATGGATTTCAATGAGGCGGTTGATGGAGGGTGTTAGTTCTACATAAGACCTGTTAAGTCTTAAAAGTGAAATCAAGTGTACCTGATCACACCTGTTATTATGCAAACAGCCAAATGGTGTCAACTTCACCATAAGAACCTACAATTATGTGACATTTTTACCTTTTAAATATCAATTTATAGGGGATGATTTTAAGTCTACAAATAGTCACTATGAATATGATGGACAAAGAAAGCGGACAAAATATACAGTTCCTCGGGTAGACAAAGGAACATCCCTTCACTGCTATTATGTAAAAATGTGTAGAACATGTGAATGTGATACCTGTTCTACAGATTTTTACATAATAGCAGTGAAGGGATGTTATTATTAAATCATTCATTTATTGCAACCATAAGTTGGATTTCATACAGTAAAAAAGGCAGGCATATAAATAGTTCACAATATAGTGATATGTATATATACTTTGTACAATAAAACTGTATAAATTGACACTTTAAATACATAGATATGAAAAGAAGAAAAGAAGAAGAAAAAAAAAAAAAATTAAAAAAAATACACTCAAGAGCAATCTCATTTAAACATAATTAAAAAGGTACATAGGACTTCACAGGACCAATAATCATATATCAACTGACATCAACGTATTGTCCAACAATTAAAATTGAGAAAGATTTTGAAAGAAAGAGAGAGATAGTAAACTTTTCTTTTGTTTCTTTGTCAACCACAGCAACTGTTGAGGGTAGAATGAGGAACTGTATATTTTGTCCGCTTTCTGTGTCCGTCATATTCATAGTGAGTAGACAGGGTATACAATACTTTTGTTGCTTTTTTGTAAGTTTATTGTTGTTAAGAGTTGATTGGTGGATGTTAATATATACCTGTACTGTCCTCCTGAGTCACACAGGTATATCTCTTGTGTGTTGAGTGTCAGAGCAGTAGGTAGTTGAGGTTTATAGTGGATCACTGCTCCATTAGGACCCATGGAGGAGATCGTATCAAAGCTCAGTGACACAAAATCTTCCTGCTCACTGCAAAAACAAACAAAGAAAGCAAAACACAAGATTTTTAGTAAAAAGAGGAATTTATATTGTACATAAAAGAAAACTGAGCAGGGATTAGTCTGGGATGGCTCATGTGATGTAAAATATTTCAACCATGAAAAATGGATATATCCTGGATATACTCCATCTGCATCATGGACTCTATAATCACTGTACGCCTTTTGGCCTACGGTTGCATTCATTTATAAACAGCTAGTGTGACTAGACAGAGCAGTGACAATATCATTAAGGTTAACACCCAAATTTCATATTTGTTTCATGATTCTTGTCATAAGTAATTTGGAATTGGTGTTAAATTAACATCAGTCAGCCGCAAATTCCATATTGTGTTTTGAGGCGCCAGTAGATTTATGATATCTCTTCAGTGATAAACATAGTTACTATTTACTGTTGGGCTGTGACCTTCAGAAAATAGTGCTATGCCAGTCACTTCAGAGAGTTCATAATTTCTACCGCAGCCTCTCAGTGCATCCATGGTATATTTGATTAATATTATGACCACATACATGAAGGCTTCTGAATCCATCAAGACAACCGGTCTATCCGATGAGTTGGGTAAATGTATCCAGACAACTATGCAATATAATTTCAATATTAAGCTTTACATAAATCTAGAACAAAAAAAAGAGTTTTGTGCATATTTAGCCCGGGCTATTTTGAAACTGCATAGCCCAGGGGGGGGGGGGGGGGGGCTTCTAACCCCCCACCCCCCCCCCCTATGATCTCGGCCGTGGAACGACCGATCGCCGCGAAAATTTGCATACATGTCAAGTGAAGTGTATAGAATACTATGGTAATTTCAATTTTTTGAAAAATTCACTCATTTGCATATTTATGGTAATTTATGCAAATAAGGTCATAAAATTCACATTTTTGCCCATATATCAGACATTATTAATATTTAAGCATTCTTTTTCACTACATATATTTGTTAGACCATTTGGAATAATAATACAACACAAAAAATTGAATAACCAGGGTTATTCCTTATGTTTTCTATTGTTTTGATTTTGACCCCAAAATAAACACCTAAACTATAAACAAGACCAAATAACCAATGTTTTATCTCTTTATTTGAAAAATGACATTTCCATATGTTTTGTACACAAATCACAAAAATGAGCGATTTTTGGGCTGACATGCAAAGACAAAAGGACATGTGACTTTGTAATGGTAGGTCCAATTTTCGAAAAATTTCTTTCAAAAGATGCGCAAGACTCGAAAGAAAAAAGTCACAATATTTCAGTGCAAGATTTTTATCCGTTAAAAAATTATCGCGAAAAATGTCGAGGGGGGGGGCTTCTAAAGCACCCCCCCCCCCTGGGCTAAATAGGGTTAAAGGTGAAATTCAAAGAAAATCACAAATATGTCAACTAATGTCTCACTAGAAACTGGTAAGCTAACAGATAGCCATCGTACAAGTTTTAGGTCAACTACATATCGGGTGATTTATAAAAATACAAATACAACCACCTCCATAGCAGCTGGGATATATGAGAGATTCGCCGGAAAAATAACGATGTTTTAATGACGTCACTATATGGACCAATACTGCCCAAGCAGACGACATCTCATAAAGAATGAACATAATTGCAAAGATATTATTTGTCAAATTATAATGAGTTTAGTGTATATAAATGTAATGGCTTGTCAAACCATTCAAAAGGGGATATGATCCGATTCTGATAACTAAAATCTTTTGCTTGTAAATACACAGGATAGGGTTAATTAGCAATCAAAGAAACCAGACTTTCAAATTGAACCCCCCCCCCCCCCCGGAATGATACTAAGGGCAATTCCACGGTAACGGAAGGACACTCAGACAAGATTTTTGAACTTCAGGTTCATACTAAAAGAAATGTTTTATTAGTATGTATTAAACTATGGGGAACAAAATGTGTTTCAGTCAAGTGGAAAGCTTCATCAACTTCACAAAGTTTGGATAAACACTAATTAACTGGAAAAACCATGTCCATTTTTATGTCCTTCCGTTACCAAGATAATTAATATGCACATTCTTAAACTACTTAACTATAATGACAATTTTTTGGGGGAGAATTAAAGGCACTTATATAGGTATTATATCTGTACTGTTTCACATCTTATACTAATAAAACAGTTCTTTTAGTATGAACCTGAAGTTCAAAAATCTTGTCTGAGTGTCCTTCCGTTACCGTGGAATTGCCCCTAAGGACGGCATTTGTTCCCTCTTGGAACGCCGAACATACCGCGGTGTGTGCAGCTGAATATACAATGGCGTCTTATTTTGTTTACAAGCGACAAATTCCTTATTTTTGTATCGCTGCATTTGTCATCAAAATAAAACCATGCGCGGGGTTCAGAGTGAGGCAATAGATTATACATTTAGCCTGACGGTAGTGAAGTAAGAGAAAGAACTTAAGAGAAGATGAAAACACAGGCACTGAAAATGTGTGAGATGTCATGGGACATCGTCTGCTTGTGCAAATCATGTCCATACTGTGATCTCACACATCTCAGCAGCGTTCGGAGAGCTCTTCAGGTGCTATGCCTGGGCTGTATTTAAGCGTTTTGTAATTTATAATAATCATTACTTCGAATGTTTCCAAGCATTGAATTTTGATAACCTTGTCGAATCAAAGTTTCAACTTTGCAATAATGAACACAAAATTAGTTCTTAAATTCAATGAATATCTACTTTAAGCCAAATTTGAGCCAATTTCAGGCTTATTTACATACGGTACATGTGAAACGCAGTAAAACAAAGTGGCCTCTTTTTTATGATGACGTTAATACAATACGCTTACTTCAAATTTCTTTAAACCATTTAAAATCATTGCCATATGCTATACATGTACAGAACATGTGCATTTGTAACTCCGCCTGGTCTTCTACTGTATATTTCAAGTTTACCTTCTGAGATTCTCAAGCTTATCAGCAGCAGTCACTTCATTGAGGTACCCTTTTGGAATCTGCACATGAAACAAAGAAATAAATCAAGGTAAAAAAACATGCACCTGTATTTACTGTAGAAGCAATATGCTTTTATACAGAACATTAAAAAAAAATTAGTATCAAGTGCTGCATATGTGTCATCGTCGTCGTTATGAGCCAGAGCACTATAACAATGTGTTCCCATAGGAAATCTATTTATTCAGATGGTCATATCTCAGCCAATACTTAACATATTCGATTGGTTTTCGATATTTTGTATGCTCTTTCTGAAAATGAAGAAAAAATTGAGAAATTCCGAAAATAGATTTTCACCACTCTATTATTCCTACTTGACCTATTCCTTGGATGTGTTCACACATCTTTGTCAATGAACACCCTTCCTCCTATTGAGTTTGCAAAGACTCTTCTCTAACACACTAGTTGGATTGACAATGCTTATGAATCATTTCAGAATGGGAGTAAATCTACTGAACTTGACAATCAAAGGCAATGTGTGAAAGTGGACATGTACCCTACCTCATGTTCAAGCCAATTGAAGTATTCACACAGGGCTACAGCATCTCGTATCTGCAGGGAGAAAATAAAAACATCCAATGCTCAGATCTCAGTACTACGAATCTGAATTTGTTGTTTCTAAAGTGCATTAGTGCATTTATCAACATTGTCTAACGACTCAGATGGTGACGAGAGATCATGAGTTGTATCATACATTTTTCTGTATATTTATTCCTGGAGATATTAGCAATTACATCCCGCATACTAAGAATCTTGCAATCTGATTGGTCTAAACGAGGTCACATGATCAATGATAGATAAGTACTATCTCCCTGCGATAAGACTTTTGTACCGTTATCTTTTTATTTCTTTTGCTGCTGCCCCACTTGCCACTGAATAAGCATACAAAGTAGGTTACACGAAATGTCAATGTCAAATGAGCGCGCATCGACTTTACTACATGTATGCATGTTGCACTTTGTAAAATCTAGCTGAAGCTAAACTGTCTGCAGAATCAGTTCTTTTAATTATGTAAAATTCACTTTAAATAGACCTTATTGCCGATGTGGGATATAAAACAAATATTAACCTCCTTTACTCGGGCAATGGATACAAACTATCATCCCCTCTGTGATCTCGGGGGCTACCATCATCCCTCGCCTTGCGGCACGTAGCCGGTTAATATTTGCTTACTATCTATTATCCTATTAAATGTTACAACTAACAATTTGAATACTCATATCCCTTGTACATTTGATGTTTTTTGTGTTTTTCATAACTCAAGAATGAAAGGTGGACTCACCAAATTAGTTCCTTTGTTGAATACGTTCAGAGGTATACTTTTAATAATATATCACATTATCAAGAAACATATACAAATATACTTTTCACATACTTAAAGAATTACAAAACTTGGTAAGGCTATGAATAATTCAGTTGGTAACTGTACTGCACAAAAATACATGCAACACATTTATCATATGAAACAACAATATTGGAGGAGTAAGACTGGTGACCTAGAGACTTACATGTGCTTGACGCATGCCCTCAATTTCCACATCATTCTTGACTGCTTTGCTCTGCCAGATTGGGCTGTTGTGAATGTATTGATGTTGCTGTAATACGAGACAAAAATATGTGACAACATCATGTTTTGTAGGCCTTGCACAATGTAGTAATTAATAAACGATTTTGCCCTTTAGATTCCTGTATTCTTTCTGAAAAAAACCCAAGAACCATGAATACAATTGTTAATCCATCTCTCTCTCTCTCTCTCTCTCTTTCCCTCCCTTCCTTTATCTCTCATCCATAATACTTGAACCTCAATCTCTCTGTGGCCTAGTGCAATAACAATATTTCTGTTCTGGTCTAGCACAGATTAACAGTTTATCACATTAAGACAACAACTACCTGCACTTGAAAAGTGTGGGAATTTATTACCCTGACTTAATAATGAGCAATGGCATCTATGGAAACTGGAGGAGAGAGACAACTCTACAGTGCTGATAAAATAACTAAGCCTTCCCTATTAATCTACAGTACCTTTTTACCATCTAGGTATAAAATATTTAAAAACAAACTATAAACATCTCTTCATGCCTGTAATACAAGTTCCCCTGCTAATGCCCTTCTGCTTGGAACGCAACTAAACATACATTGTACTCTTCAAAGTTTACAAGTCAACTTGTACCATACCTTTGGAATGAGGTTCATTAGTGCATAACTTGAGTTGGCGCTGATCTGTAGAGAAAAAAAAAAAGAAGATATATACATGTACATAGCTGGTACATACATATCTGGAATACCGGTATTTAAACAAAAATTATATTCCCCTACCAACAAACAAGTGAAGGAAAAAATCAAATTAAAAACTAAATGGACCTTCAACTGCACGCAGTTGAAATGATGCCTGTGCCATAGAGCCATGTTACAAAACAAAACAGAGGCAATTTTTAAAATTCAAGTTTGATTGAAATCCATTAAAGGTAAAGACAAGTATTAGAAATGCCCCAATTTCAAAAAATGACATGGAAGCTCTTATTACAAATCATGTGAAAGAATGTTTTGACTAATACATGTACATGATGATAACAATTTTGCTGGGAAACCGCCTACTAATTGATATATTTGGTAAATTAGTTTATCTACATGGTCTGTGAGAGATAAACGCATGTGTCGCGCACATGTGCGTATAGTCCCATATACATCTTTCTGTGTACAGTGCTTGTAACTTTACGAAGACTGGGCCAAATTTCTTATCATTTTGATGATTCCAGAACCTTGCAGTACACACCAATACTTATATGCTAGATGATCAACCTTTTCTGATCGATTCCACAACGTTTCTTTCACAATGCAATCGCATGACCATAATTGGTCTTTACCTTAACAGGTTCTCAGAATATTGTGATTAAAAGCTAATTTATCATATACATGTATGCCCCTTTGATCTTTGACCTCATGACCCTAAAATATAATCAGTTCGATTGATAACGCGATCACAAGTTACCTTTGCATACATACCGTATTTGCCGGCGTAAAGGCCGCAGTATTTTTGGGGAAAAAAATATCAAAAAGTTGGGGTGCGGCCTTTACGGCGAAACAGTAAAAAAAAAAAAAAAATGTAAGTCCAAACCAGCACGAATTTGCACATACGGGACTACTATCGGTAAAATAACTATACCACTATGGTACAGGACATTTCCACACATGTTACTGACAATTTTATCTTGCATTGTTGACATGAAGACAAAAATAAACTTCCAAAAATAACATCTGCCGATAGATCTTGATCTAAGTTCAAGTTCAATGCATTGCAAAAGTAAAAGAAGGGCCCGTTTAACGGAGCTGCCGTGAAGCATCCAGCACGCAAAGTCGCCAATTTCAATCCATTTCAAAGTATACATCAGAGAAAACTGCAAAGTATGGTATCAGTGCGGGATGGCCGAGCGGTCTAAGGCGCTGGTTACAGGTCCCAATCTATATGTGCCCGCAAGAGATCGAATCCCGCCTTTGACAAAAAGTTTTTTTTTTTTTTTTTTAAATGTCGAAATCGGGGGTGCGGCCTATACGGCGCTGTGGCCTTATCGCCGGCAAATACGGTAATGAGCCCCATGACCTTTGACCTCATAATCCTAAAATCTAATCAGTTCTTTGGCTCTGCACAATACATGTCTTAAGTAATCCGTCCATCGGTTCTAATGATAATGCGATCACAAACTATTTTTGCATACTTAATGAGCCCTGTGACCTTTGAACTTTGACCTCATGACCCCAAAAGCTAATGCTCTGCACAATACATACATGATTCAAGTTTGGCGGAAATCCATCAATCGGTTCTTGAGATGACGGGATCACGAGAACGGGACATACGGATCATGGACAACCCGAAAACATAATGCCTCTGGCTACTTCGTTGCATCTCACTTAAAATATCATCAACACATTTGAATTTCAAGAAGAGAGACAAGATTGTCATTGAACCTCACCCAGGTCTTGGCTCCATTTTCAGCAAGCATGTCTGAGATGAACTTTTGAATGTCATCATATGCATGTAGTGTGACTTCTATTCCTTGGTTGATATGGCTGTGTACTCCAGGTTCTAGCTTACTCTCATCTACAAACAGACTGATAGAAAAAAACATATTATGGCCCTGTTTCAAAAGACATTTCATCAACAACAAATAACTATAATGTAGAAAAGATACTGAATCCCTGTATCTAATGTTGTCAGCAAATGTATTATAGAAGTTTAGCAGTTAGTGTTTACATGTACTGTATGTGTATGTTTAAATTTACATGTAGATGTACATGAAACATGGTCCATAAAGCTTAGCAAACCTATTTCCTCAACACATTTTATTGCTCTCTTTTTTTCTTAACTTCAGAGGCGTCAAAATCTAATCAGATCATCTTCCTATAGTGATACACCCTATCATCAGTTTTGAAAAACATACCTCTGATGGTTCTTGAGATATCACGATAATGAGGCTTAAAAGAGTAGGTAAACTTTAGCAAATGACATCAAAAGACCTTTGACATACATGTAACCACAGTGTGAATGTCCCCCTAGTGCATCTCTGACCAAAGTTTGGTGATAATAGAATCAACAGTTGTGAAGTTATTTGTCTAAAAGAGTGTGATATGACCTAAAATTACCTTTGACCTACCATGTGAACTTATAGAGAACTACAAAGTTAAGGTCCCAGGTGCATTTTTGTTCTAAGTTTGGTAACATTAGTATTAACAGGTACAAAGTTATTTGTAACATGAAAATCTTGAAGGTAAACTTTAATATAAGACCTCAAATGACCTTTGCTCTTAATGGCATGTAACCCTTGACAGCCTCAAAGCATGGAGGTACCCAAATGAACTATGACCCAGTCTAGTCACAATAGGGTTGACAGTTGCGAAGTTATTTTTTGAAGGTGACGGACGACGAACGGGCAACAAACGGACAATGGACAGATGCTGTTTGGATCCCTTAGTCTCCTCTCCACCTTCGGTTGGCCAGACATTCCTCTTCAGATTCATAGCTCAGGTAGTTTTAGTAAACCCCAAACCATGATTATAAAGATGGATTTATTTGATTTTTACTTACCGTACATGTAATAAATGGTAGGCATACAAGTTACATACTTTTTTTTTAAAGTATCCATACAAGTCTTAGCTCTATTGAGGATATGCAAATACACTTAAAAGGCAGGGTATTTTACCAACATTGCTTGCTACCACTGCTGTAATTTTTTTTCAATCGTGCCATCTTTCGGTGAAGGCAATCATACATACTCTAATTAGAGCAATTTCAATTTCCAGTACCCAAGCATCATCACATGCACGTCATCAGTTGCTGATGCATTGTGGGACATTGCTGTCAACACATTGGCACTATTTGAGCAGCAGATGGCAGTATACGTGAATCTGAAGTAGTATCATTGGAAGATTTACATTCCTTGTTATTTTTTTCACAATTACCAGTATGTTGTCTGTATCTAATATGCGTATATGAACATTTCCCAAAAATGTTCAACAAATATTTACAATACTCACTGTACACTATCCTGAGAAAGCACTGCATAAGCAAAGAACACGGGGTTGTATACAATATCTGAACCTCGTAGATTAAATAGCCCTATGAAGAGAATAAAAGAAAATCCTGATAAATATTACATTCTTATATTTGTCATTATACATTCTCTGTCAACAACTGCTATATCATTATTAATAGAGTTTAACATCAAGGTCTAGTGGATATTTCGTCAGACTAGGTATCTCATGTACAACTGCAGCTTTTCAACGTAAGAGCGGGGTCATCTTAAAGTGTGCACTCCTTGGGGGAGCGGAAGCTCTTTGTCTGTAAGATGATCCTAAAATCTAATCAGTTCTTTGGCTTTGCAAGATACATACATGTTTTGACTTTAATGGAAATCCGTCTATCGGTTCTAATGAAGTGATCACAAGCTATTTTTGCATACATAATGAGCCCCATGACCTTTGACCTCATGAGCCCAAAATTTAATCAGTTCATTGACTCAGCAAGATACACACATGTCCTGAGTTTGATAGTAATCAGTTCTTTGGCTCTGCAAGATACATACATGTTTTGACTTTGATGGGAATCCATCCATCTGTTCTAATGATGTGATCACAAGCTATTTTAGCATGCATAATGAGCCCCATGACCTTTGACCTTATGACCCCAAAATCTAATCAGTTCATTGACTCAGCAAGATACACACATGTCCTGAAATTGATAGTACTCTGTCCACCGGTTCTAATGATAATGCAATCACAAGCTATTTTTGCATGTACATATAAGAGCCCTGTGACCTTTGACCTTGTAACCCTAAAATCTAATCAGTTGATTGGCTCTGCAAGGTACATACATGACCAAAGTTTGGCATGAATCCATCAATTGTTTCTTGAGATAAAGCGATCATGAGAACGGGACGTACGGACAACCTGGCTACTTCGTAACGGAGGCGTAATAAGTCATGTCAACTGACATAAAGAAATATTTCTACTATTTACACTATTTTACAATGGAGCATTAAATCAGTTTAGGGCTTATGCATTAAAAAATAACAAAAAAGAAAAGAAAGGAAAAAAATGGATCATCCAAACTTAGACATAATGATTCTACAACGTATAAAAAGGTTCTTCAGCTGTATAACGTCTGATCTACATTTGCCACTCTTCAGCCAGATGTAGTAAATGGGTACCTGGTAAGAATTCATTCCTTGAATGCTTCAAGTGCTTTTGAGCAACTGGGCTAAAGCCAGTGTAATAATAGGTGTCTTGAATTCCACCTAGGAGGGATAGATGCGCAATGTTAATATAGCTATTGCTAATATTATTATTATTCCTATCATCACTATTAGCATTGCAGGTATACTAATCTTATTTTGCCTCTACTCACATGCTATTTCATCAAGGGCAGTCAGGATAAGATTCTGGACACGAACCTTCGCCATCTTCCTTCTAATCTGAGCCACTTTCTCTGCTGAACTTTGACCTGACAAATAGATAATCTGACATTTTAAAATTGATTTCTATCTATTAAATTCATATCTTGAAATGAGTGACAAAAATGTCATAATGATCCCATAATGCAAAAAATCATAACTAATACAGAATTGCTGGGATCAGACAATATCTTTTTTTTTTAAGTATAAATTTACCCAAAACCATGATATCAACAATTTTCAAAAGTGTTTACCCGTACCCCAATTTGTCCCTCTCAAACCTAGCTGTGTGAAATGAGTGCTTGGCAAAGTTGGGACAAAAATATAACAGCAGAGCCCTCAGGAAGAGCAGTGTTAATATTGATGAGGCTACTACCCTGAAAAGACCATATAGAGATATAGGGTTTGTATGGGTCCTGGAATTGAAAGTGATGGAATTACAACATTTATGGCAATTCATTTGTTATTTTGTCATTATCTTCAGATGTGTAAAATGAATAAAATTCTTTCTTATTACCAGCACTTTGTTTCCATGTTTTCTTTCAAATCTCATCTGAGAATGAGTGACATGAACATGGTTTGCCAGAATGTGAGTGTGTGAATGAATGTATACGCAGTTGTGTGATTTACTGTGTGTCTATAAAATACACGAGGATTGATGTGTGCACTGTGTGCGACATGCGGGGTTGCCGAATGCGATTTGCAATTCCGTATTTTAGGGGGATCCCCTAAAAATACCCCCAAAAAAGTTGAGGTACAGTGCATCACAACAGGGGCAATTCATAGACAGGGCTAATTTTGTATGAATTTTGTATGAATCTTTTAAAATGTTTAAGTTACCATTACCAAGACTGTTTAAGCTTGAAAACAAAGATTAATCACTTGTGAGGACAAGCTGCCATTTTTCCAACTGTCGATCTACCTCAAGATATTTTGAGATAATCCCTTCCTGAGCACAAGTGCGCATGTACTGCTTGCTGGCCTGATATTTTACAGTGCCTGATATACAATATGGTGCAGTGCATGGTATGGTATTGGTATTGACGCTGAATTTGCACGATACGTTTGTACGGGCGTTATTTTCAGAGTAACTGTTACTTAAATTCAAAATGCCAGGAAACTGCCGGTTTCATGATGCTTCGTTAGATAATCCAACATACGGCGAGTGGCTTTTGAAAGTAAGTTCTCATCTAGGAACAGCTAGATGTAGTGTCTGCTAAGGCTGCGACGAGTACTCGAATACTGGGTATACTTGCACTGCTGACAACTACTCAAGTACAATTTCTCGTACTTGAATACACAGTAGCATTTATTTATTTTTTGCCAATTTTTTTGCCAATTTTTTTCTTCTCCACCTGGCAGTGTCGGCCGGCCGAAGCTCACCCGTGCACGAAAAAGCACCGGCAGGGTACGGTGAGTAAAATGTTTCCCAGCTCAAACATACACGGGATGTCACTGTCACTCATCACTCAGAAACTAGGACCAATCTAGCTGCCAATGTCCAGATTTCTGTTTGAACTTGGAGGATAATTTGTCTGTCATCTTTAGTTTTAAAAATAACATTGTAACTATTATTTGTGAGAAGTTCATTAGCACAAATCGACGCCTTCAATTGCAACTCCCAGTAAAATAGAGTGGGTTTTCGTAGCCGGACTATGAGGTGATTCCTACAACGTCGGCAAAAAAAGAAAGAAAAAAAAATATTTTAAAAAATTGTTAGAAAAAAAAAAAAAAGGCCGCCAAGTATTCGCCTGTAAGCCTGGGAGTGTACTCGCGCACCTCATTACGGTACACGGTTATGCACAGCCTTAGTGTCTGCCATGTGAACTTCAACCTTAGCAACATGGGCGAACAGCAGCACTTCGGAGCCAAATGAAAAGTGAGAAACACAAGACAAAACTCCGAAATAGAGGTAAGCTTGCATTTCTTTTGTAAATTTTGCTAATTTTCAACAAAATCACAAATCCACACAATCCAATTTTAAAACCATTCTCTGTGCTTTCTTCACAATTAATTGACACTGCCGTAACAAAGCTCACAGGTAATGGTATGAAGTTAGAGCTTTTATAGCACACGTTAGTTAGCACACCGCCCGTGGCCCCATGGCTAGGCTCTGCGCACAGGGATGGGTACGGGTAAGGGACTGATTGATAGTGACAGGGCACGTTAGCTCCGCACTGCCCGTGTCCCCGGCCGACAGCTGGGCTCCGCGGGCGGGTACGGCGCTGATAGTGACACGGCACGTTAGCTCCGCACTGCCCGTGTCCCCGGCCGACAGCTGGGCTCCGCGGGCGGGTACGGCGCTGATAGTGACAGGGCACGTTAGCTCCGCACTGCCCGTGTCCCGGCCGACAGCTAGGCTCCGTGGGCAGGTACGCGCTGATAGTGTCTTGGTGATTCTGTTAGTGATCCACAAACCGAGGCGTGAAGAAGGCAGTCCCTAATACGCTTTCCAATGACAATGTGTTTGAATGGTAATGACCTACACATGGGTGTACTGGGATGTTTGTCAGTAATTGGTTTGATTTGTACATTCATTTACCAGTTTATATAGTTACGCTGATTGGGCTAACACATTGATCACAATTACCAGTGTTAGTGTGTTGCCATGCTATTGGTAACAGCACTTGCATGTTAATAATATTTTTTTTATTGCAATCACACTAAGTTCTCTTTTCTGCCCTCTTTATCTTGTTCTGCAGACTCGACTGTTCTCACAATCAATAACTTCTTCAAGCAAAAAGTATGGAGTGGTTCATCAGTTCCTACCACACAATCTGCAGATGCAACAACAAGCACTAGTGCCCCATCAACCTCCAAAGTAAACATCCTGTTGCTGTTGCTACAAGAGCGGATACACTAAAAGCAGAAATTATGTGGTGCCTGAAGGTAGTTGATGACCATTTATCATTCCATTCCTGTCAGCACAATGACAGCCTATTTCAGAGGATGTTCCCTGATTCAGCAATTGCAAAAGAGTTCCAGTTATCAGAGACAAAATGCAGATACATGACTGTATTTGGTTTGGGGCCTGTTGTATGAAGGTATTAAGACATCCTCACATTATGCCATCCTATTTGATGAGAGTTTGAACCAGAAACTGCAGAAAAAGCAAATGGACACACTTCCAAAAATATGGCAACATGATGAGGTGCGCACATGCTACTTGACATCAGTCTTCATAGGACATGGCACCGCAGTGCATCTGAGAGAAGAACTGACCAAAGTCCTTCAGAAAGTGGGCATGGACATATTGCTGCAAATATCCAAGGTCAGTCCAAATGGTGAACTGGAGAATGTACGAGGACTTCAGTAGAGAGAATGAATCTAAACTTAACCAATCTGTGGAGAGCTTCCTGTCATCACTGTACTATCTCTTCACAGATACCCCTGCAAGAAGGGAGGACTTTCACAGCATTACAGGAGATGATGTCATGCCGCTAAGGTTCTGCAAGACCCGAAGGCTTGAGAATGTTCCTGGAGCTCTTGACATCTGGAACAATGTCATAAAGTATGTGCAGGCAGTCGAAGGGACAAGGTCTCTCACCCATGCAACAAATCATTTGATACTGTACAGAAGTGTAGCAAGATCGCCGTTTTTCCAGCAAGACTATAATATAAAGCTTCTTCCTTTCAGTTGCACAGTTGATGAACCCTAACCTCACAGACTACCTAACAGATGCTCCTATGCTGCCATTTATGGCATCAGATCTTACCAGAGTGCTTGATGCAGAGGTTTTTGAAGCTGGACAAGACCATCATCCATTCTGCTTAACACTTGATGCAGGGGAAGGTGAGCAACCAGGAAATTCACTTGCCTGTCGGCAAAGTCAATTTTGGTTTTTACACAGAGAAGAAGCTGAAGGCTCTGAAAGCAAAGAACATTATCAGTGAGCGAAAGGTTCTTAAATTTCGTCTCGAGGCAAGAACTTTCTTGTAGCCATGACAAGCAACATCACTGAAAGGTGCCCCCTCAAGTACTTACTTGTACAGAATCTTACATGCTTCATCCCAAGAACATGGCAAGTGACAAAGTGAGATCAGTTGAACAATTTAAAAAGGTCCTTTCTGTCCTACATGATTCTCACAGGTTTGATGACTCTTGTGATGACATTCTGAGACAATTTGGTGAGGCATGGGATGGGGCAGCTACAAACCCAGAAATGAGAGACTTTGATTACAAGAAGGAGAGAGTTGACACCGTGTTCTGCAATTTTCTGTCAAAGCAATCTAGCTATGCTGCTTTGTTCAAGGTAGTGCGCATGTGTTTGGCTCTGTCACATGGACAGGCATCCATCGAATGAGGATTTTCTATCAACAATCAAGTAGAGGAAGACAATCTGCAAGGTCACTCACTAGTCGCTAAAATGACAGCCATTTATGATCACATCAGATATGTAGGGGGGAGTCAGAATGTCATTCTTGACAAAGCCATAATGCTGGGGGCTGCAGCCGGCAGGCAAAAGTATCAAATCTATCTTGATGAAGTAAAGGAAAAGGCAAAAAAAGAAACGAAGAGGAAAGGGTTGCTGATGAACTAAATGACTTGAAATCAGAGAAGATCAGACTACATGCTGACATAAAGAGTCTTCAGGAATTTGCAGAGGAAGCAGAATCAACTGGACAGTTGACTTGCATATCAAAGTCAAACAGTTTGCGGCGATCTGCAAAAGAGAAGATTTCTAGGCTGCAAGAAATTGAGAAACAGATCGAGGAACAAATGAATTCTATCAAGAATTCATAATGTACATTTACAGTATGTATTTCTGTGAAATATATTTTGTGAGTAATACATCGAATTATGTCATATGTGTAAAATGCAACAGGGAACATGTGTTTTTTCACACTGAGGTAACTTCTTTGTAATTTCCTCAACTGATGATTATTATGTAGAAAAGAGCATGTGTGACTATATCTTTTCACCAAAGCAATTATACCACTTTTCCTCTTTCTTTATAATTGAGCTCTTCCAAAACTTAGAATTTGGGCCTTCTTATCATTAATATTGTACAACATTTTCATGGATATCACAGTGTTTATCCTCTACTCATGCATGAATGTTTTAGTGTGCAACATTAGCCAGTGGGAAAGTCATGGAAAGTCCTGGAATTCTTACTTGAAAAGTCATAGAATTGTATTGGGCAAAAAGTGTGGGAACCCTGCTCGGATAACATCCCGTTATAAAATGCTAAACAGCACCTTTTATAAGATGGTTAGAAGAATCCCTGCAATCTGATTGGTTAATTACTGTGTAGTTATTTTTACTGGATGCACACGATATCAACACGATATATGCGATATTGGAATCGATAACACCGATTTCCAGATTGTTTGCACTTTCTCTCTTCTCCACTAAGGAAAACAACCAAACCCAAAACAAGATGGCAAAATCGCGATTTGATTTTTCAGCTTCTGTAAGAAGAAGAATTATCTAAATTGTTGGATGATTTAGATGTAACTAGCATGAACATTTCAATTAAAGATTAAAGTATGGATTCTCAAAATTGGAAAAGTTTGCACAGATCAACTTAACATCAATTTGGGGGACATTTTTACGCCAGAATTGGACAAACTGTTCATCCAATAATCGTTCTAAACTAAGTTCTATGCTTCTGTACATAGACTGACAGTGAGTTGTAAACCTAGACTTTAGTACCTTCGCTGTGGCATACAACGCCAGTTAGGCCTGACTTTATTTTGTTAAGGTTTAGGCCTAAGTCATTCTACATTTGTTTTAATCCATTGCACTAACAGACAAATTATGCAAATTTAAAAATCATGCTTACCGGTAATTACCGGAAAGCATGGCTATGGCAAAGTCATGGGTCCGGTAATTACCGGAAAGCATGATTTTGCCATGCATCCGGTAAATCTGTAAAATAACAAAATTTTGTATTTTTGACAATTTTTGGGGACCCATCTTATAAAACAGATGATGCACAGGTTTAATTTGTGGGTCGGTGGAATTGTGTGCACGCGGTACTTTTGAATTTGGTCTAAAACCATTCAAAGGTACCTTGTGCACACAATCCCTACCGACGCACTCAAACCTGTGCATCATTTGTATACTATACCCCTACCCCCAGGCAAAACAAATACTGTATAATCTAGTGCGTAACACATTTGACCAACCTGTGAAGTGAAGACTGTGAACTTTGACCTGAGCCTGTGGTGGAAGTGGCCTGTCAGCATCCCAGACCAGATCAACAAGGTTTGATTGGATGGGTACAAGTGAGTGACCAGCGCCCTCTAGTGTGCTGGAAAATGTCTTCCAAGATTCTACGAGCATGGGAGATATCAACCAGATGGTAAGAAACATTTGTTTGAATTTTTTTTTAAACATTTTAGAATGTCTTTTTATTGGGCAAGTACAAGGAATTGGTCAGTTAGTGGCCCATATGTTACCCAGTCTACTAGAATATTGAACATTTTTAATTACAAAGGTATTAGTTTTCTTGATAATTAATCTGATCTAAGCTTTAATATGGCTAATAACTTGATATGATCATTGGCTGTAGTAAAATCTTTAACATAGTCAGTAGCATACTGGAAAAATAATAACCCAGACTTAGCCTATTATAATCATGTAAATACATTTTGTTTACAAGTGATATAGAAATTACCACCTTGTTGAATTTAATTCATGTAGCTAAAGCTTCCGTCGCAAGAAATACTATTCCCAAAACAAGAATGGAAGAATTCCAGATAATACCCAATATCATGATTATCACAGACAAAAAGATAATTTCTATACAAATCTAGGTGAAAATTTTCCAAATTGTATGCTTTTGCAGAGCTCTTGCACTCTAAGACACTGATCAATACATCAAGATATGCAAGATAACAATAGATGTACACTACATGTATGTGAATTCTAGTTCAATTTGAAATTAAATCAGTGATATATTTCTCTGGAATGCCAGTATTCAAGTCCCTGTAAAATAATGAGAGTTGTTTAAGAGTAGTTTCTTCGGATGTATTCAAACAAGTTCACATGAATGGCACACTAAAGTTTTTTAAGTATTGTGATGTGGAATAAACCGACTGTGTATAGGTGTACCAAATATAAAAACTTCTGAAATAGCCAAGGCCAACCATGATTCCCAACCTAAACTAACTTTATATGGACGATTCTATGCAATGTGTCCTGTACGACATATGTCCTGAAGCCACATAAACATAAACGACCCCTCAATAGGACCATTGAGTAATGGTGCTTTCAGGTATCTCTACCATTAGTCAGTTAAATCAAGGCATTTTCATTTGTGGAATTACGTTGTACAGGGCACATTGCACAACATTGCCCATATGCTGTGTGATGGGATTAAACCTACCCCATCTAAAAAGAAAGGGATCAACCCCAACTTTAGATCCTGCTGGCAAAACCTGTCATGATGAAAAGAGAAATGAATTATGATAACAAGATCAAATTAGATTTATATTGTGAAAACTATTCTTATGAATGAAAAGGAAGGAAACACATTTTTCCTGCATTGAGAAAAAGAAGGTTTAGCAAATACATGTAACGGTAAGCATATTAAAAGACAAAACGGGGTCAAACGGTTGTACGACACATGCTCCTGCACTAACCAAACTCTTAACTTCAACACTATACATATCCCTAACCCTACAATGTATACCTTTTGATTTTCATTTCATTCATTTTTCATTTCGTTTATTTTCATTTCCAACAAAATAAATAAAGTACATGGGATTGCATTGTACAAAGTCAAACAATGAAACTTAACAATATATTTGTAATTGGTCCACAGTGTACAACAGGCATATAAAACAGGTTGGTCATGGAGGGGACTGCTGAAAAGCTGGGCTTGTAGATTGCAGCCCCCTATAACTTACAGTTGCAAAAATAGTATATCAATAATAAAAGAACGCACAAATACATAAACCAAATAGACATAACATAGAAGGAGTGAAAGGGACAGGGAAAGAAGGGAGACAAAGAACGAGGGAGGGCAGGGCTCTTACCTATAACACACACAACACAACACAGGCTGACTGGAATACAGATGGCCAGTAAAAAATGAATCAAAATATCCAAATTGTATTTTATTGAGTTAAATAAATTTAAAGAGGGAGAGCTAACGCTTGATAACTACGCAAAAAAGACTTTTTTATTTTGAATTTAAAAGAATTTAAACTGGGGGCATTCTTGGTGCTAACATCAAGAATGGTCCATAGCTTCGGGCCTGCGTAAGTGAATATGGATTTAGCAAGTAAAGTTCTAGTTAATGGCAGACGAAATTCGTCAGATTGGCGCGTAGGGTATTTGTGTATAGTTTTATTTTTGATGAACATTAAATTGAAGGCTGAGGGTAGCGTATTATTATTTAACTGGTACATAAACTGTCCGAGGCTATAATGATATAAATCATTTATTTTCAACACATTATTTTCAACAAATAAAACGTCAGTATGAGATCTCCAGGAAGTGTTACAAATAACACGCATAGCTTTTTTTTTGTAGAAGTAGTATTCTATGAAGATAAGAATCGTGTGTATTACCCCAAACAACAATACCGTAATTTAAGTAGGGCAAAATTAATGTCGAGTAAAGCATTAGTAGGGAGGAGGTTGGCAGAAAAAAACTTAACCTTATTTACAATCCCTATATTGCGAGAAATTGTTCGGCAATGCTATCAATATGACATTTCCATGAGAGTTTATCGTCTATTATCAGACCCAAAAATTTCATTGAAGTGACGGCTTCTATGTCAGTATTACCTAGTTTAACATTGTGGTAAGTTACCTATAGAATTGCTGAAGAGCATACATTTTGTTTTTTGTAAATTTAATGACAACTTATTAGCTCTTATCCATTGTAACAATTTGTCTAATTCAATATTTAGTGTATTGACGAAAATATCAGGATCTATGTGAGAAGAGCACATTCAAATCATCTGCAAATAAGAGGAAGGAAAGGATATTAGAGGAATTTCGGATATCGTTTATATAGGTAATAAATAAAAGTGGGCCAAGTAGACTGCCCTGTGGAACACCACAATCTACATCTTGCATAGAAGAAAATTGGTCGTTAATACACACAAGAACCACTCCAAGGCCCTACCACAAATTCCGTAATTGTTCAATTTGTAAAGAAGTATTTTAAGATCGATGGTATCAAAGGCCTTGGAGAGGTTCAGGAAAACACCCACAGTATGCTTGTATTTTTCAATAGTTTCTGTAACTTTTTCAACAAGGGTAAGTAAAGCATGGGATGTACTATGTTTTTGGCGAAAGCCAAACTGAAAATGAGAAATTATGCTGGGCAATTCCACGGTAACGGAAGGACACTCAGACAAGATTTTTGAACTTCAGGTTCATACTAAAAGAACTGTTTTATTAGTATAAGATGTGAAACAGTACAGATATAATACCTATATAAGTGCCTTTAATTCTCCCCCAAAAAATTGTCATTATAGTTAAGTAGTTTAAGAATGTGCATATTAATTATCTCGGTAACGGAAGGACATAAAAATGGACATGGTTTTTCCAGTTAATTAGTGTTTATCCAAACTTTGTGAAGTTGATGAAGCTTTCCACTTGACTGAAACACATTTTGTTCCCCATAGTTTAATACATACTAATAAAACATTTCTTTTAGTATGAACCTGAAGTTCAAAAATCTTGTCTGAGTGTCCTTCCGTTACCGTGGAATTGCCCTGCTGTTTTTATTCAGAAAATTTAGAAGTCTTGTATATATTATTCTTTCCAGAATTTTTGAAAGAGCAGGCAAGAGAGAAATTGGTCTAAAATTACATATATTATCCCTTTCTCCTTTTTTGTAAACCGGTATAACCTTAGAAATCTTCATACAATCGGGAACAACACCGCTAGTCAAAGATATATTGAATATATGCCCCAGCGGATCGACAATGTAGTTTATGACGTTTTCAATGCCATCTTGTCCAGTACTCTTTTTATTTTTCAAGTTTTGAACTATATCTATTAATTCATTTCTATGTCCGGGGACAAAAAATAGTGAATTGGGATTTGGCTGGTCTATAAAGTCTAAAAATTTCTTTTGCGTTGGAGGAATTTCCTCTGCAAGGCTATGTCCTATTTGAGAGAAATATTGATTAAAGGTATCGGCTATCTGCACTGAATCGTGAATTTCTACGTTGTTATGTTATTTTTTCTATACGCGATTTATGGTTATGCTTATTTATGGCACTATTTATGATTTTCCATGTTTTACTAATATCATATTTGAATAGAATCAACCGATTTGTAAAATATTTTCGTTTTTCAATACGTAATATTTTTGAAAGTGCTATATTTACGGTGAGACTTTTCAGAACGCTGAATTTTGCTTGCGTAATATAAGTTGTTTTTTCGATTGATTAATCTTAAAATTGGTTTGGTTATAATCCATGGAAGTCTGGGACTCTTTTTATAATTAGAACATTTGTTCACTAATGGATGAAATAAAGCCCAGACCAATTGTTGGGTCATTGGTTCAAAGGGCCAATGGGGGCAGAAGCTCCAACATTTTAATTGTCCAAGATATTTTTGTGAAACAAATAACTCTAGAGAGTATTGCACATCTTATGATACTGAAAGACTCACACAAGAAAAAAATAGTCTGAAATGATTGTTGACTTGAGCTGCACTTTTTTTCTTTCTTTTTTTTTCTTTAAAGTGACAAAATATCAAATATTTCATACCCAATTTGGAAATTTTCCATAACAAAAATACATACATGTAGCAATGTCTTCCCCTAAAAAAAAAAAAAATATATCACTGTTTCATGAATCACTGTTAGAAAGTTTTGGAATAAGTTTACCAAATCAATATTTAAATACAATGTACACAGAGAATATGCATTCTGACATAAATCTCTCAAAACTGTTTTAGATTTAAGGAGACATTATAAAAATACAGTGTCTATGGTTGACACAATCTGACGACAAACGATTAATGTTTTAAAAGAAGAAAAAAATGACCTATGAATTCATACATTGAGAATCTGTGTTAAATCCAAATATCTAAAAAAAAAACATCAATATGGGTCAAATGACTTGAAATAATGTTAAAGGGGAAGTCCACCCTGAAATTAAGTTAGTTTTAATAGGAGTAGAAAAATGAGAGAAACAAGTCAGTGAAAGTTTGAGCAAATTCCGATTAAAAATAAGGAAGTTAGGATTTTTGAAGTTGTGCTGAAGCCTCTTGCCCGAAAAAGTAATTTTCTGGTTTCACAATTCGGCTAGTGAGCGAAGCGAGCGAGCAAAAATTTGAGGATAATATGTATTTTGTGAAAGTGTTATTTATCACCAAAATAAACGAGAAAAGATGTAACAAATTCATATTCAGGCAATTCGCTGTCCCCTCCCCCCCCCCCCATTACGCGCGAAGCGCAGAAGCTTTAATGTTCATGAAATTATAAGGGGAAGAAGAGGATTCGTTGTACCGTTCTCGGATGTTAATCATTGTCTGAATTCAGTTTCCATACCCCCTCCCGCGCGAAGCGCGGAAGCTTTGACATTTCATTAAATTATTAGAGAAAGAAGACGATTCGTTGTACCGTTCTCAGTTGTAAATCATTGTCTGAATTCAGTTTCCATACCCCCTCCCGCGCGAAGCGCGGAAGCTTTGACGTTTCATTAAATCATTAGAGAAAGAGTACCGTTCTCGACTCTTAATCCTTGTCTGAATTGAGTCCTCCCTTCCCTCTCCCGCGCGAAGCGCGGAAGCTTTGACATTTCATTAAATTACTAGAGAAAGAAGACGATTCGTTGTACCGTTCTCGGTTGTAAATCATTGTCTGAATTCAGTTTCCATACCCCCTCCCGCGAGAAGCGCGGAAGCTTTGACGTTTCATTAAATCATTAGAGAAAGAGTACCGTTCTCGACTCTTAATCCTTGTCTGAATTGAGTCCTCCCTTCCCTCTCCCGCGCAAAGCGCGGAAGCTTTGACGTTTCATTAAATCATTACAGAAGAGTACCGTTCTCGACTCTTAATCCTTGTCTGAATTGAGTTCCCCCCTCTCCCGCGTGAAGCGCAAAAGCTTAACGTTTCATTAAATTATTAGAGAAAGAAAGAAGACGATTCGTTGTACCGTTCTCGATTCTTAATCATTGTCTGAATTCAGTTTCCATACCCCCCCCCCTCCCGCGCGAAGCGCGGAAGCTTTGACGTTTCATTAAATCATTAGAGAAAGAGTACCGTTCTCGACTCTTAATCCTTGTCTGAATTGAGTTCCCCCCCTCTCTCTCGCGCGAAGCGCAGAAGCTTTGACGTTTCATTAAATTATTAGAGAAAGACGACGATTCGTTGTTCCGTTCTCGGTTCTTAATCATTGTCTGAATTCAGTTTCCCCCCTCCGCGCAAAGCGCGGAAGCTTTGACGTTTCATTGAATTATTAGAG